TTAGCAGATATTCAGGACAGTGCGTGTGGATATAAAGGGAAAAGACGTGGAGGGACAGTGTTTGCAAGTGAAGACTAAATTTGTTGTTCTGTCCTGCATATGTTGAAATAAGATGAAACCTCAACCATGAAGGTTCTTTCAACACTTTCAAGATATGGGTAATATTTTTCTCTTTCTCAGTTTTTCTCACTGCTTTCTTGAATCTACTGGTCTTTTTAGAAGCTTTTAATACATTATTTAAATGCTTTATTTAAAGTTCGAATGAAACTATTAAGACATTAATAGTTCTATAATATACTTGGATGTCAATTGAGAGTTTGCAGTTGCTATATGTGTTTTGATTATCCGAGTATAATAATAACATAATCTAATTAAAAGTTTTTTGGGAAATCCATCCAATGAGAATCTGTTGCGGTTGTGATTTGAATTGGGATATAAAATAGAAGACCAACTCGAGAAACCTGATTCACAAACGGGTTTAGGGTTTGAGAAGGCTGGATTGAAAGTGTAATCGATGAAATTGATCATAATACTGAAGAAATAAAAAAAGGAAAATCCTTAAATGGGAAGTGATCAATTGGTATGCTCTCAACGTTCTAGAGCTTTTATGTTCAGTGAGAATGACACAAATATTTGTTTGACTGTTATGGAAGTTTCATGTTCACTCAGAATGACACCAATATTTAATCTTCTTTACATGAGTATGTGTTGGATAGACTGTCTAGAGAGGGGGGCCAGAGTCGAAAGCCTTGTATATATAAAGTAGAGCGGTTTAATTGTCGTTACGCCATGTGGCATGCCACCTAAGATTTTTCTGCTGACTCATCATAAAAATGTCATGCCATGTAGGATTAAAAAACTGACAATTAAAGAAGAAGAGGAATACCAAGCACATTTTTCATTTCTGATTAAGTGGTACGGAGCACATAACCTTTTTTAATTATTTTAAGGGTTTTTCTCTTCTTTCTCCTCCCTGAAGAACGGTCATTCCCTTTGATGAAGACGAAAGACCGGAGACCTATTCATCGAATATTTGACGTGATGGCCTCTCTGGGAGAAACGAATATTGTAACCAACGTCCTCAAGAAGGCTGCGAAAGTTCTTCATTACCGCCACGAGAGGAATTCTGCCCGTCACTCCAAGCCACCAATTTGGAGAGGTTTTTTTAATTCAAATTTTAAAATTAAATGTTAATACTTCAAATCTTGGGTATTTACTCCGTAATACAGAATTGGTGTATGGTGATAATTGTTTGGTTTTATTTATTCAATTTAATTGTATTCTTTTAATAATTCTTTAATGGTAATAACATATCTAATTGTTTTTATTTAGTATTATGTAATTTTTTAATACTTTAATCTTTTTTTTCATAGTTTTGTTCAATTTATATATATGGAGTAACTGGTTATATTGTATGGAATATTTTATAGAGTATTTAGGAAGTTTTGAAGCATTCATACGAAGAATTAAACAAAGTACGGAGTTTTTAGGAAGTTTTTTTAAAGGTAAATTCTTTTGTGATCCTTAAGTTCATGCTCATTTTATGGTCCTTAAACCTTAATGTATATTGCTCCTTTTAAAAAGAAAGAGATCCAATTATATGGTCATGAAGAATATGTGTGAAAGTTCACATTTTGACCTTAGTACTACAATTGTAAAAATTTTTATCGTGCTGTTATTAGGCATTCCTTTGCCTCCTGTCTCTTTTCTTTTTTTAATGTTCATTTTCAAATTTCAGTTCAACCTGTTGGCATTGAGGAATGACAGAGTTGGGAAATCACTTCAAGGAATCATAATCAGCAGTGGCAGGTACGAACTTCCTAACATCAGCCCAGTTCTTCTCCCAAGAAATTGCGGTGATGGGGGAAAGCATTTCTTTGAGTCAGGGAAATATAAAAAAAGGCTTAAAATTCAAGTTTTTTCATTAGGTGGGTTTTAAATTGGCCCATTGTTGTTGTTTCCATTTGGATGATCTTTCATAGGGGCCTAATTAACTTCTTCATCTTTTTGAGTTATATTTTAGAATAATCAATGACAAATATTTGTTATTTGTTTTTCTCGCAACCTTTTTTGCAGATGGTTTTAATGAAAACGGTAGCTCTACGGAAACAATCTCACCTCCTAAAGCTAACCAAAAACCCAATGGTGTCCAGAAGGGAGGCTCTTTGATTACACTTAATAAGCAATGTGCTGGTGAAGCAACAATTGTTTATGGACATGGGGCTGACATTGAGACATTAATGCCAGAGTTAAGGCACCCCGATTACTACACTATGCCTCAGATCCAATTGCTTCCAGCCATGGAAAGGGCTGAACTTTGATTCATCCACCATCTCAGCAATTTTGTCGTGGGAAGAAAGGCCATGGGTTGGGCTGAGAGGTTAGTGGCCCATTTTAGGCCCAAAAGAGCTGAAACAAGTTTACCTTCCTCGCTGTTGTCTGCCCTGTGTATGAACAAGTTTGTTGCTCCTAAGAAGCTTCATGATCTTGTGCGCAGGATAGTTCCTCTTGCCATCTGATTTTTGTTCGTCGCTACATCAGTGGTGAGGATCACCCCCTTCTCCGTCCTTGTCGATGTAAACAATTTAATTACTGGTAATAACATGAAGGGGATGTTGGATTGTGACAGGCTAATTCTGCCTTTTCCTTTTACGATTGCCCACTCTAGAAACCTTTTCCAAATAATATGAGTGATTTGGGATTCATTTTTTGTCTCATTCTCATATATTCTTCTGTTTCTTTCCTTCCAGATTTCGTGCGCTATGATACCTGGAATCATCGTGCACTCAAGAAGACTTTGTTGATCTCTTCTGTTATTCCTCCACCATTTCATTAGGTAAGCGCTAATTTCATGTGTTGTAGAGATTGTGATTTTGAAGGTAGATTCGAAATGTGCCCATATAGCTTTACTGAAACTGCAATCCTTGAGAGTATGTCCTGTACTATCTTCATTGTTCCTGCAAAACAGACATATTGAAGGGAGGGTATGTCCAAACTGTGTGAGTTGTTTAGGGAAGGGACCCAAGGGGAGAATGTTGTAATAGATTTTCCATAGAAAAATAGATATAGAGGGGATTTTCTTTTTGTGCCAAATTGAATTAAGAATTGTGTCATTGGAAGCTTTCTCTCTCAGAGCTTCATAAGCTTTCCTGATGTGGAAGTCTGATTGGGTGTTCCAGAAGGGGTTAGTCTCGTAAGAGTCGAAAAGTGCTTTTGATGAGCAAAGTCTTTTCCAGTTTGGGGAGTCAGTGGGTTTGCTAGAGGCCTCCAGACCATCCGGGACTCTTTTATGAATAAACCTGGCCCATAGAGAGTTGTTTTGTGTTTATATGACCTGTAGAAAACTGATAGGAAGAACAGATTGGTATGCAGAATAGAATTTTTATTGATGTAAAAACTATACAGGAATATTTGTGTTCACTAAATATATATAGAGAACAGACCAACATGACTTTTACTAACCAACACAACTATTACAAACCAACACACCTATTAACAATAGAAACTACCCATAACTGCCTTTTAGAAACTGCCCTATTGTGTTTTTATTTGAATTAATTAAATATGTAAAACACACTAAACGAAACCACACTAATTGACTTTATATTAATTGACCCAAACATCGACTCATTACCCATTCGGTTATATGTGAACAAACCCGATTAAATCTAACAATCACGCCCTTAATCGTTGTTTGTTCACACTGATCTTCACAATAACGTTGCTTCATCATCTTCAATCAAGTTTGCAATCTGTTCCTTTTGATCCCATTTTGGACATTCGTTCAAAAAATGCCCTAACTCATTGCACTTGAAGCACCTAACGTGACTCTTATCCCGCTTAAACCGACCATCATCCTGACCTTTCCCGGACCTGACCTCTACCTCCGCCACGTCCAAAGTCTTCTCGGTTTAAGCTCCAGCAACCACAATGCTCACAGTTGTGCTCCTGAACCTTCTCTTTTCCATCACCTTTAGTGAAGAGTAGTTTACCATGTGTATCTCCTTCATCAATTGGCCTTTTGATACGTTCCTCGAATGCTTTCAATCTTCCAACCGCTTCTTCAAATGGCATTGCGTTAATGTCGGCAAACTGTTCAATTGCAGCAACGATCTGCATGAACTTTTCAGGTACAGAACCCAAAAGCTTTCGAACCAATCTTTTGTCTTCAAATGCAGACCCAAGGTTGTTTGCTTGTGTTGCAAGTTGACTAATTTTACCAGCAAAATCATCAAGTGATTCATTGTTCTTCATCTTTAGATTCTCAAAATCTGATTCAAGTGTCTGTAATCGCGCCGCTTTAACCCAGTCAACACTAACAAAGCGAGTCTTCAAAGCATCCCAAATTT